CCAACTGACCACACTTGGTTCTCACATGTCGCTCTTGGTATTTGGATGTAACTTGAGACTTGCCCTGATGTCACCCTGTTAAAAAGTTGTGTTGAGACTTTAGGGTTGCGAAGACAATCTTTCCCACCTAATCACATCATGGAACACCATCTTTATAAGAATTCAGTGGGGAAATTTTCCCTTTGGTTTCAGTGGTAGGAAAAACGTGCTTCTCACTGTATATTTGAAAATAAGTAGAAGAAAATTTTAATATTCCCAACAAGAAGAAATGATGACTGTTCGAGGTGGAAGGTGTGCTGAATACCCTGATCTGACCTCTGCCTACTGTAGATATGTGTTGGAGATCAGTGTGCCCATGAATATCTATAATTGTGTCAATCTTTAAAAATCATGTTTTTCCTAAATAATTTTTTCGCATCTTCCTTGAATCATGAAGCTAGTCATATTTCTCCCTTTGCTCTGGATTCTGGGAAGGTTGAAGACACATTTGTGGCCCATTTCAGGCAAGCAGACAGGATCTTTGGGCGTAAGTTGGGGGCTCTTTTGCCTGATTTTCTTGGGTTTACTTTATTCTTTAACCTAATCATTGGCTCACATTTTTAATTTTATCATGTTATGAGTTTCATGAAGTCACTTGAATCCTGTTTGGATCAAGATAGTTAATTGATGATTTTATAAAAAATAAAAGGGTAGACGTTGCATTCTGGACGCTGGCACATTGCAACAGCCAGGCCAGGGCGTGCCCTCGCGGCCCAGCAAGGAAAGCCTCCTATACCCACACTTCTCCGCGGTCAGCTGTACTGCTCTCATCTGCCGACTCCAGATGTCCACGACAACGTGCTGCGCTGTTACGAGGACATAATTATGATTGTAGCTCAAGCAGCAGCATAAAGGACAATGGCAGAGAGCAGAACCGCTGGAAGCCACAGAGCGGTCAGTGAGAGGTCATTCTCTGTTCTCCAGGAATCATACCGAGTCTCCTCGGGAACATCGGGTCTGTGGCCAGGGCAAAATATGGATCTATAGCAAGAAAAGCCACAACTTGAATTATTCCTTAAATGATTGTTCTTCTTACATTTGGTCTTCCTCGTTAGAATTCATTCCAGTCTGCAAGTTTCCTTGTGAAAATTCTTGTTGTTCCTCTGAAGCCATCTGATGGAATTTTGAATGAGAGGCCCTCTGACAGTTCTGCTGCGAATCACAAGTCCAGAGCACGCAGTTATTAAAGCAATGTTTCATAGCCCGTCAGTTATTGAATACAAATTGAGCATCTGGGAGGCGTGTTGTATTTGAATCCTAAACCCTTCCATGCTTAGCAGATGCATCCAAAGACTCTTCCAGTTCTGCTGTGATCTAACTGTGACCCTGAAATTCGTGTCTTAGAAACTTAGACTCCAAAGTCATGTGGTGCTGGTATTTGGCAGCGGGGCTTTGAGGATGTGATTAGCTTGGGTGAGGTCATGGGGTGGCGCTTGATGGCATTAGTGGCTTTATGAGACCAGGAAGAGAGACCTGAGCTGGCAGCTTGCCCTCCCCGCCCTGGGAGGCCCAGCTCCAGGCTGGGGTGCAGCATGAAGCCCAACCAACTTCTGCACAGATACCGGCACCGTGCAGACTATTTCCCAGCCTTCAGTTATGAGCTAAATAAACCTCTATTCTTTAGGAATTACACAGCCTCGGGTATTTATTATCGCAAAAGAAAACAAACAAAGGCAAGATCCAGGTGACAGAAGCACAATGTCAAATAGCTCAAGTCAAAAATCAGGGCTGGGTGAATTGGAGCAAGAGATGCGAAAGTCCTAAATGAAATAATGGCATCTTGATTCAGTGAAAGGTGTGCACGTGCCCACACGTGTTTATCAAGAAACACAAAGACAGCTTATCACTTAAAAAATCTTCATCCGCTCAAGATAAAAATTCTCAGCCTTATAGAAAGAACTTTCCTATGTAGATGAATGATGTTAATCCATATAGCAAAGCATTTAGTTAATGATGAAATGCTTCATTCAAGTTCAGTGTGGATGAGAGTGCCCACAGTCCTGTCTTATATCCAACATTTCACTGGAGGCCCCAGGCTAGTGAAATAAGAAAGAAAAGGAAATATAAGGCATAATAAGGGCTGGACTAATATAAACAGGGCAGTTTTTAGGAGATCTAGTCATCTTTATGACTTTCCATCTTCCTGGAATGGGATCCAGTCCTTCCCTCCATGTCAGTCTATTTTCTGTTGCTATAACTGAAAACCACAGACTGGGAAACTCACCACCCAAATTCAGTTTATTTAGCTCCCCGTTCTGTAAGCCCAGAGCATGTGGCTGGCATCGGCTTGGCACCTGGCGGGGTCTTCCTGCTGGCTCATGACAGCAGGAGGCAGCACATGGAGAGCTGGCCCCTTGTCCCAGGAGCCTCCACCACCAGGCCACTCCCACAACCCCGCAGTCCTCTGACCCTCTAACCCATGGCACGAGTCCCCTCCTGACGGTCACCTGTCCAAGCTCCCCAGTGGGGTGGGTTTCCAACAGGAGCTTTGGTCGGGACATTCAAGCCAGAGGGCTGGGCCCCGGAGGTCCCAAGGCCTGGGCTGTGTCTCTGGCTCTCTGTGGCCATGCTGGCTTCTCACTCCGGTCCCTCCCTGGGCTTTGTCCTGTCTCAGAGCCTTGGACTCACTGTTCCTCAGCTCAGTGTCCCACCCCGCCCTGCTGCTGCTCCTGTCCATGTGTCCAGCCCTGCTCCAATCCTCAGAGCCTCCCAGGCCCCCTTCCTAAGGTAGCCCACCTGGTCACCTCATTTCCTCATGGTCCTTGTCACTCTCTGAGCTTACTCCCTGAGAGACTGCTCCCCTGTTTCCCCCTCAAGCATCTAAGCTCAGAGAGAGAAGGACCTGCCCCCCAGTCACTCCCTCGGTCACTCCCTCCCCCTCGGGCCCTCAGGAAACCATTGTTGAACAAATGAGTGACGTTGGCCCTGTGCAGGGAAATAGATCCAAGACACAGGACCCATAGAATCACTTTTCTGTATGTTTTAAACTTCTTGATGTCGTAAACCTTAAAATCACATAAAATAGAATTTAAAACTAAAGTTTTCTGTACAAAGCAACCTTTTCTCACTGAAGCTTCTAGAAATGGTATCTTCAGACCCAGAGACAGGCAAATTTTGGGGACACCCGGGACACACCCCTCCCAAGGCTCATGGTGCCATTGCATGGGAAGGAATGCGCATCTCTGAGCCTGGAGCAGCCCGGGGAGGGCAGCTTCGGCCTGCGTTGGCCTGTCCTCGACCCCAACAGCCCAGGAGGAGACTAACCATGCGTCCTCCACGACTCCTCCCATCTCTCCTCTATGAATAGTGAGGCCTGTGCCCCACTTTACCTGGCCTGGCTGTGACCATGTGGTGACTCCAAGTGGCTCATGGCTGTGGCTCAGTGTGTGAATAATGGTCCCTGGACCAGCCTCTTGGCCTTGGCTCAGGCTGTCCCTCTGGTCAGTCCTGCCATGTCTTCCTGACCTCCTGTTCCCTCCAACCCACTCCCACCTGCAGGAGAGCTGACTCCCCCTCTCCTCATCTCCATGGCACCCGTCCCTGCTCCATCAGTGAGGGTCAGCCAGGCCCCCTCTCCCAGGGACCGTGCCTTCCTGCAGGGAAGCATCCCCAGCACACAGCCCCATGCCTGCGACAAGGTGCACAGCTGGAAGATTCACGATTGGGGGCACAGTGAACTTCTCCCTTCTTGCCTGGATCCTGAACAGTTTGAACAGCAGTCAGGTGCGTCAGGCCTGCGGGTCTCCTCTCCCGCTGGCTCCCAGTTGCAGTGTGGGGCTTCTGGGGCTGGGTTTGACTAGTCAGTGTCTAAGGCCATAAAGTAAACCCTGCCAGTTCCTTTTCTTCCTGGCCTGGGATGTCCCAGAGCATCACAGCATTCAAGGGTTCCAAAACCAAGCTCTGTGTAGGACGCAGCTGCACACACGGGGAGTGTGGGGCTTCGGGGGAGAGGGAAGCGTCTTCAAAGAACAGAAAAGACATCCTGACAATACGTTTCCCCTACTGTCACAAAGTGCCTGAGACAATCAACTTCAAAAGAGGAAAGGTTATTTGGGTCACTGGAAAGGGGTATATATCCCCCAAAGATAAACTTAAAATAACACTTTTTATTCTAAACTTTCTAAAGTGGATTCATCAGGACTTAGTGCTGCAGAAAGACATATGTATCCAAAAAATGTACACAAGCCCAAGGTACTTTGGAAGGATATTCTAACAGGACAATGGAAAGGTCCTGACCCAGTGATTGTCTGGAGTCGGGGCTTTGTTTGTGTGTCCACGAGAACGCCGCGTGTGTGGGTCAGCATATTTCCCGGGAGCATACGGGGCATCGGCGGGAGTTTCAAAATACAGTTTGTTCCTGTTTGAGTGGCTCATGATTTTGTGCCCAGCCAGACTGCGGCAGGTCACAGTTTCAGAGGGTTCAGTCATGGTCACTTGGCCTGTTGCTTTGGGTCTGTGACATCGCAGAACATTATGGTGGGAGCATGTGGCCAGAAAGCAGAGGGAGGAAGGGAGGGTCCCAACGTCCACCTCAAGGGCGTACTGCCAGGGACCTGGCTTCCTTCCCCTAGGCCCCACCTCCTTCAAGTCCCCCCCATATGCCATAGCTGGTGACCAGGCCTTCAAATCAGGGCCTTGGGGAGCATTCAGATCCAAGCTGCAGCCACATGGACCTAAAGCATCCAACGAAAGCGGCAGAAAGACAGGAGACTGTGTTGGATCCAGGGCTGGTGGAAGCACAGACTGTCCCCCAGCACCTGGGCACCAATGCTGGCCGTCACCTTGGCCATGCAAGAAGCGAGGCCCAGCAGTGAGGCAGCGCCTGGGGACCGAGAGCCTTTGCCGCTTCCCGGCAGCGCCTCTCCTTGGGCCTGTTTACTCTTCCGTAAGACGGGGGCACTGGTCTTGGGGACGTTGGTGGTGCCTCCGCCCTGACTCTCTCTGTCCCTCTGTGCCCCTAGGTACTCCTTCCAGGACGAGGAGGACATGTTCATGGTGGTGGACCTGCTGCTGGGGGGGGACCTGCGCTACCACCTGCAGCAGAGCGTGCACTTCACCGAGGGGACTGTGAAGCTCTACATCTGTGAGCTGGCCCTGGCCCTGGAGTACCTGCAGAGGCACCACATCATCCACAGGTGACCGCTGCTGGCGGGAGTCTGGGCTGGATCTCGGGAGGGGTCGCGGTCTGCAGGAACCGAGGGTGGGCTCTACCCCCACTTGAGTTAGAAGTGGCTGCGGCTGGGGAGGAGAGAAAGCACCGCGGCTTGAGCAGAGCTGCATTCTCTACAGACGGCAGCCCACCCTACTGCCCGGTCCAGGTGAACCCTGCCTGCCGCCTGCACAACTGCCCTGTGCCCACTGCTGGAAGGGCACGGGGGTGCGTGGTTGGTTGGCCTCAGCTTCTCTGCTCCAGGGTGTCTTGGGGAGAGCGGGAGGTGCTGTCCCTCCTTCCCAGGCTGGCAGGTCACTGTGGCATTATTCTCCTGAGTTGGGAGCAGGAGGCGTTCTGCCCTCTTCCTCTCCATGCTTTGAAGTCAGTGCTGGGCTTGGGGAGGGTCCCTTCACCTTGGAAAGCTGGCGTCTGCTGCCTCCTTGGGGACCTCGCCTCTCCCTGGCAGCACCACACTGTCGAGGTGAGCCAAGCCAGGTTGTCTGCAGATGCAGAACTCCAGGAGAGACTGGGAAGCAGCGGTTTCCTAGGCGGGCAGGGCTCCAGGTGTGCAGCTGGGCTCTGGCCCTGGGCCCGTCTGCTCCTAACTTGAGTGATTTGGGAAGACTCAGGGGACAAGGACTTGAACTTCCGGGTGAAGAAGACAGATGAAACACACACCCCCCGACACTTTCTCCCTCCCAGAGTCCCAGTGCAATGACAGAAATAAATGATGTTTAAATTCATAAGGATGGGGACACCGAATAGAAACTATGGCACACATGAGGGCACTGACTCAGGACACCAGAAACTGGGTGTTAAGTTGTCCTTAGGGGGAGCCAAGACTGGTAACACCTCAGAATCCCCTGGAGTTTCCAGGACCGGCAGCAGATGCTATGGAGGGAAGCAGGGGAGGAAACAGGCCATGGCCCAGGGAACTGGTGGAACCCCTGGTCTCGAGCACCCGGCCCCTCCCCACAGCATCACTAGGTGGCTGCCCCTCGCGGCCCTGGCAGGAGGCTGAGGGCCAGTCCCCTAAAGAGAGTGACGGAGGGTCAGGTTGGGGTGCTCTAAAATCAGCAAGACTGCCTAAACATGTCCATGCCAGATGCCGAGATGGGCCTCCTCCTTCCTGCCGGGGTCTGACAGCGAAGGCTATGGGCCTCATCCGCAGCAGGAAGCTCAAAGGGTTTCCGTGGCAATGTGACTCAGCCAAGAGGAGAGCAACTGTGACGTCACAGGTGGCCCAGGGCACCTTGGAGTGGTGGAAGTCCCTGCTCATTATCAGCTCCCAGCCAGGGATGAGAGGTCTGGGATTATCAGACATCCGGGGAATCCTCTGACATGAACATCAAGACCCAAACAAACCGGAGAACTAGGAATACCTGGAGGCTCTGAAGCGTCCAAATAACTAGGAACAGTATTTTCAGAGGGATAGGAGAGTGTTTTGCAAGAATAAAACAGGAAAAGGCATTTTTTTAAAAAAATACAAGAGCATTGGAGCTCTTGCAAATTATATGTGTGAAAACAGAAGCTGTGTTGGAAAACAAAGTCTTTTTAGGGTACTCCCATGAAGTACGAGAAAATTAGAGGCCCAGCCCAGAAATTTCAGCATGAGAAAGAGGGAAAACATAGAGAAAGAAATCGTTAAGGAAATCATGAAAGAAAACCCCCAAGACCTGAAATACATGCGCCTCCAGGTTCAAAGAACCCCAAGGGCCCAGGGCTGTGGCTAGAGCCCAGCAGGATACTGCTCAGATCTGACAAGTACCGGAGAGGAGAGGCTGAGCTTCCAGGCTGACGGATGGGACGGGTTGCATTTCCTGGAGTCCAGGAGGCGGTGAGGACGTGCCAATCAAGGGCCAAGCTGTGCACTTCCAGACTTCCAGGTCTCCAAGACCCGTGCTTTCCAAACTCCTTCTCTCGAGTTCCAGAAAATGAAAGGGACTCAAAAGTGAAGGGACCGATCAAGAAGAAGAAAAATGATCCAGAAAGCTGGAGCCCAGCAAAGAAGAGGGGCGAGGACGCAGTCCCGGGGAGGGTGTGGAAGGGTGTCCACTGTCCCTCGGGGCAGCCCTAGGCCAGCTGTGATTGAGTAGGTCAAAGGCCCCAGGAGGGCCTTCTTCAGGGAGGACGGAGAGAATTGAGGGCTGCCTCCAGAGGATAGGTTTAGCTGGTAAAGAACCTGAAGTTGAAATTAGAGAAAAGTTAATTTTAAAAAGTCAATGATTCAAAGTAAAACAATTACCATTCTTAGGGAATGAAAATCTTCTACAGTGGATTTTGTACCGCCTCTGCGTATCATTCAGCTCACTAAATGGGTCATCTGTGTACATAATACCTAATTATAATTACCTGAAAATTGATCTAACTAAAAATACAATACTATTCCTTTGAGAAAATAGGGGACTGGGAAGGATGAGTGTGTGTCTCAAGGACTGGAGAGAAGAAAGGCTGTCAAGCCCTCTCTGACAACCGAGAGAGCCTGAAATTAAAAAGTGAAAGGACCATACAAATCCATCATGCAGAGGGAAGGAGTTAAATGCCCCAATTACAGCCTGGTGGATGGACGGGGAAGGGTAAATGAGGGAAAATGGTAGGGATGGTAGCTGTATTCTAGCAAAACTTGCAGAACTATTTGTCTTTGACTATTTGCCTGTGCAATTTTGATACAAATAACAATGAAAACTACAATATAAAGGAGGAGAGGAGGAGGAGGAGAAGGAACAGGCGCACAGCTGTGGGCAGCAGAGAGCTTGTTCTGGAACATGCAGAGGGTCACCGTGAGGCTGCCTCACCCAACTGTCACCAGCTTCGGCACGAGGCGTGGTGGTTCTGGGGTCGGTCTGTGAGCACGGTGCCATTTGGTCAGAAGGGTGCCAGGGCACTGTGTGCTCCTGTGGCTGGGTTCACTGAAGGCCCAAGAGGAGAGAGCTCTTCACCCATCTGGTAACGGTCCTTTGTGAACTACCACAGCCACCCCTGCCCTCTGCACTAAATGACCCATGTCCCCAAGTTCCCTGAGATGCAGAACCATACAGACGTTTTAGAGGCAGATGCCAGCTTCCCAGAGCAGAGGCCAGGACGGACCAGCAGACAGGGGACAGTCACATTGGAGCACAGCTGGCTGGAGCCATTTCCTTTCCGCAATGTTTTAAACTCACTCTCAAAGACACTTCTCCCGTGGGGGTCACCTGTCCTTTGATTTCAGACACACCCCAGAGAAGGGGCTGTTCAGTAATCTAAAGAATCCTTTGAGTCCTTAAGTAAAAGTGTGACATGAGCGTCAACTTGACTGGGCTAAGGGGTGCCCACGAAACATTATTTGGGGATGTCTGGGAGCGGGTTTCCAGAGGAGATCAGCATCTCAACAGGTGAGCTGAGGAGAGCAAGGGGCCCTCCCCACTGTGGCCGAGCCCCCCCCAGCACCCACCCCCAGGGCCTGGAAGAGCATGGAGGAGCCAGGGGAATTCACCTCCCACTGGGAGCCTAGATGCCACCCCTCCTGTCCTCAGGATGTGGCTGCGGGATCTTGGCTGAGGCTCAGGCTGCATCTGTGTGCCCAGCCTCCCAACTCGCAGGCTTTGGTCTTGCAGTCACACGCTGGCTGTCCTGGGCCTCCAGCGTCAGACAGAGGACTGAGTCATCAGCCCCCACACATCTAGGTATGTCTTGTTGGTCCTGCTTCTCTGGAGAACCCTGACTGTGCAGCTGAATTACCTTACCCAGTCTAAAATTGGAGACTTGGCAGAGATTAGTCATCTCTCCCCTCCCACACGGTTCATAAATCCCTTTTCCAATGTGTACAGATTCAAAATGATGTGAGTCTGTTCATGCTCTGCATAGGGATGAATGGCAATGCTGTGGGGTGTTTTGCATTAATTCAGCAGCTGAACTGATAAACCCCCCACTGCATATGTGCCTGATGCTCTCAAGGCCCATACTTTGTATCCACAGACAAATGTGGCTTGACTGACAGTGGGCCCACTTGGGAGGGGGAGAACCACTCCATAAGTGCACGTGTGGGCTGGACGGCTGCTTCAGTCAGCTTTTGCAGTGCTGCGACCAAAACACCTGACAGGAACGATTTTGAAGGAGGAATAGTTTATTCTGAGGCTCACAGTTTTAGAGGTCTCCGCCCATAGAAGCCTGGCTCCATCCCTCAGGGCTCAAGGCAGAAAATCATGGTGGAAGTGTGTGGTGGAGAGAAGCAGCGCAGGACGTGACCAGAAAGCAGCGGAGAGACGGAGCTCAGCTCACCATTTATAGACCTCAAAGGGACACCACCTCCTGCAGCCACACCCCACCCACCTTCCCTCACCACTGGGGGTCAGTCTGACTGGCTGGGTTCAGGCTCACATTACCCCATCCTCTCACCTCTGAACTTTCTTGCATTGTCTCACACATGAGCTTTTGGGGACCCCCTCAGATCTAAACCATAACAGTGGCCATGGGTTTCTGACTTCCATCTTGGTGGACGTGGGTGAGTTTCTTAACTCCATCCACTTAGCTCTTTGGACCTCAGTTTCATAATCTGTAAAATGGCCTCTTGGCATGGACTTCACTGGGCTATTAGGCAAATTCCATGAGAAAATGTTCACAAGGAACGGAGTTGTCTTGGCTTCTTTTAGAAAGCTCACCCTTCTCTTCTTTGGAGGACCTGACTTTGAACCCAGGAGTTCCATCTGACCTGTGATGTGGGTCTTTGAAAAATACCAGGTATTTTAGGGTGGAGCCTGGTGAGTGTGGTAGTGCTCAAGCAGGAAAATACTACCGTGGTTCAAAATAAGACATTGTCTTCAGATAATCGAATCCGCTCTCTGAGGCGTCTGAAGTGTCTCCTGGTTTTTTCAGCATCTATCTGGTCCGAGCAGAGTAAGCCCCTGGGGGCAGTCAATAATGCTGAGATGCTGCCCCTGCACCTGAGCAGCTTCCCAGGAGAAGGGGCACCCATCTCAGGGGCCAGAAGACTGCCACCAAGGATGA